ATCTTATGATATCATACTGATATATATATATATTGAACGTGTGGCATCCATCTGTTATTATGTATGTTTTTCTAGGTATTTGAGACGTCTATCTATCGACATTAAATTTAAGGTATTTTATTCATTTGAGTTCTTTCTCATTCTTAAAAGTCATACATATGATGTCGTATATTTCTTTTTGCATTCAATTTTGTCTTGCACTTTAAATATTCATACACACACACACATTGATATGAACATTGTTGTTTCCTTTTTCTATTCCCTAAATATAAATAAATGTCAGTTGGTATTAAATCATATGACAAAAGACAAAATGAGAAATCCTTTAGACTATTTCGACGGAATATTTTGGCTATTTCTTTTGATACTGTACGTCAAGTAAGTTAGTTTCTGTCAATTATTATTAAATTAGTAAAGGTTATCTTTTTTCTTTTTTTTTTTTTTTTTTGTTTGCATGAATGCAATAGATGTATTAATATAAATGCTTTAAATATTGTTTTAATAATTTTTAAACAAAATTTATTAATTGAAACAAAAGAAAAAGAAATTTGCTTATTTTAGACGATTAATGAATGGACTTTTGATGTATTTTCTGTAAATGAATTTACCAATGGTCAAAGTTTACGTTATGTTGGTTTTGAACTTATGCAACGATATAATCTGCCAAATAAACTTCATGTAAGCATTTTTCTTTTTTTTTTAATATAAAAGAAAAGACATTAGCACAATCTCTGTGGAATTAAAATATAAAAGAGGATGTAGTCACTGTTACTAATCAAATAGAGTGCTTAATTTTATCTATTTTAGAATACATCTCTTTTGCTAACATTTTACTTCATGCTCCAGAAATATAATAAAATAATCGTAATAAGATTTTTATTGGTTGTAATGATCTACAATGGTCTCTGCTGAACGGTCTGTTACGCTCTATAAGAGTGAAACATAGTGTTATTATAACACAGAAAAATATTATAAATTACTTAAAAATTTAGATTTCTATATTCTATAGATTTTATTTTCTTAAAAAATGAAATAATGTTTTTTGTTTTATTTTGTTTTGTTTTATTAGATTTCTATAAATGCATTACAAAATTTTCTTGAACAAATGGAAAGTGGTTATAGTAAACATCGTAATCCATATCATAATTTAATTCATGCAGCTGATGTTTTACAAACAACATATCAAATCATCTATAATTCTGGTCTCATGGTAGAGGTTAATGGAGTTTAATTGTCTAATTTGCTTAGTAGATTTTTGTAAATAAAATAAGTTTCTTAGTAGTCTACTTTTTGTTCTTTTTTTTGTGCCTAGCATGATTGGAATTTTAATACTATATTAACTAAATTTTATATTATATATAATATTTTTTATTTTTTTTTTTTTTTGTTAAATTTAGAATTGGCTTAATGATTATGAATTATTTGCCATGTTTATTGCAGCTATTATTCATGATTTTGAACATACAGGAACATCAAATAATTTTCATATACAATCAAGGTTAAAAAAAATTTAAATATATATTTCTCATATGAATAGTTTAAGAAAATATATTGCAAGATCATTCGCATTAAGTTTATATCAAAATCTAAAACAATTATTGAAGTAAAAATTTAAATTTTATGATACAGATTGTATATCAATAAAGTTTTCTTTTTATATTTCTGAAGGATTAATTATAAAATATTAAGTAATGAAATATGTCTTAGATAGAATAACAATAATGTTCTTATAATTAATCAGAACAACTATATTCTGTTTTGATATATTAATCCTATATGAATCACATTAGAGTTCAGTTCAAGATATTCTATTATACAAAATATGAGTTCATGTATTCGAATAATGATGCATATCTCTAACAACTTGTATGACTATTTAGAAAAATATTTATGAATTTTCATGAAACAAAAATTCTATAGTTACGACAGACAATAAGTATTTCATAATTTTCTATTCATAAATGTTTTATAGAAGAAATGAAGTTTGATTTTTTTTTTGTTTTGAGAACATTGAAATAATTAAATATTTATAAATTATTTTTTCTATTGTATTTTTCTTTTTTTTTCTTTCAAATTAGATCGGATGTTGCATTAATATATAATGATCGTGCTGTACTTGAAAATCATCATGTAAGTGCCGCATTTCGATTAATGCGAATTGATGATTATAATATATTATCTGAATTTACATCGGATGAATATAAGTAAGTTTAAATTAAAAAAAAAGTAAAATTATTTAATAAATAGATAATTAGAAAATTTTTCAATAAATTAAAAAACTATACTTTTATTTTTCTTTATTATAAATCAAAATATCTTACTAAACAATTTTCCGATCATCTATTAGTTTTTTTTTTTTTTTTAAGAAATTTTCGACATTTGGTTATTGAAATGGTTCTTGCTACCGATATGAGTTCTCATTTTACACAATTAAAAACAATGAAAAGTCTTTTAAGTATGCCAGAAAAGTAAGTGAATGATTTTTTTTTTTGCTAAATTAAGATTAAATTTTTTTTTTTAATATATTTTCTATTTTAAATTTTAGTATTGAAAAATCAAAAGCATTAGCACTTGTACTTCATTGTGCTGATATAAGTCATCCAGGAAAACCATGGACAATGCATCATGCATGGACTGAATTATTAATGGAAGAATATTTTAAACAAGGTGAAAAAGAAAAAGAACTTGGTCTACCTTGTTCACCTTTATGTGATCGAGATAATACACTTGTTGCTGAATCTCAAATTGGTATTAAAAAAAAACAAAAAAATTATATTTATTCATAATATCGAAATTTTTTTTTGTTTTTTGGGGTAAAGGTTTTATTCAATATATAGTTGAACCTTCATTTGTTGTTATGGGTGATATGCTTGAAAAAATTCTTAAATCTTTATCTGTACCTGATTCTGAACTTCCATCACCTTCAATACCAGCTAAAAGTATTGTTTCATCTCCTTCACCACCATTATCAACAAAATCATCGAATGGTTCAAATCCTCAACATGATGAACAATTAGAAAATGGGTAAAAAAAAAAAAAAAAGAAGGAATTCATTTTTATTATAAATTTAATATAAATAAATAGACGTGAAAGAAAACCATCATCAATGACAACACCTATATCACGACCAACAACTGTTCGACGACCATGGATTGAATATTTGAAAGAAAATCGTGAACGATGGATAAAAGAAGCAGGTGAATAGATAAAAACAGAAAAAAAAGAATCATAATAATTAATTATATTCTATTTTAACATTTATAGAAGAAGAAAAACGTCGACGAGAATTAAAGGTTATTGAAGAAGAACCTTAATCAATTTTATTTCATGACATTCCATATTGACATAAAAAGAAAACATTAGTTATGCTATGCAAATAATAACATAATCATCAAGAGGATGTACTTGTATGCGGGTACTTTTTTTTTTGTTTCTTTTTGGCTTGTATCTATAAATAAAATTATTCATTATGATGAATATTTATGTCATTTATGGAAATAAATATGATTTTAGTAAATTTTCAACGTCGAATTTTATTTTTGCCTATAGTATTTTTACATAGATCTACTTTTATTGCTCATTTTCAAATAAATTTACCTATTATATTAAACTTCTTTATTGTCATCATTGAGCATAATATGAGTGAAAAATTTTTTTATTTTTTGTCTCTTACAAAAGTGTCAAACAAGCCCATGGTTGCAAACGACCGTATACGGAGAAATACGGCGATTTATATGAGACCGTATTACGATTGTATATCTCCGTGACCGTATACGGTGATTTACGGAAAAAAAACACGCTCGTATACGATCTCCGCATACGGTCATGGAGATATACGATCGTAATACAGCCTCATGTATTACGGAGAAATACGGTCGTATCGTGAACGTATACGATCGTATATGACCTCCATATTCATTGACCTGGGTTACTAACGATGTACCAACATTAGATTGTTAGTTAGAGAACAACTATTAGCATACTAAGGTTAAATGATAACAATTAAATAGCTAAGTATTTAAGTATCGAACCGTCTATCGAAATGACAGTTGCTAATGAATTAATTTAGGTAATTTTATTGATAGAGTTTCTTTATCATAAGCGGAATATAGATAAGTTAGTCGTTATCAAATATTTCTGTTGATTGAGATATAAAAGAGATTTTTTTTTTCTCCAATTAGATATTACTTATTTGCATATCAAGACTCAAATAGAACTATTATAAACCTATTAGAAATTTCAATACATAAAAAAAAAACAAAAGAATTGATTATTAGCTATTTGATTTAGTTTTTATGAATCAAACAATTGTTATATATTGAACAAAAAAAAAAAATACGAATGTAAAACTACAATAATGATATTTCATATTATTTTACAATTACTCTAGAATTTTCAACCGTTTTTTTTATTAAAACACAATAAATAATAATTATATAAATATAATTACATTTTTTTAGTTAAGTCTTTCGTCTCGAGTTATGAAAATGTTAGTGAAAAACGAGTTTGCCGTGTTCTCTCATAAGTAGTGACGGAGCCAGGATCTTTGAGCTCCCTTGACGAATAAAATACACGCTTCAAAAATTTTCCTAGGGAGAGTTTCCGGAAAAACTGAGCTTCGTCACTACTCGTAAGATACAAATATTTAATTCTACAATAACAAAATCGTGTAATTTTGAAAGATAAATTATATTTAAGTTTTATAATCCTTTGAACAAGACAGTTGATACATTCTCAGTTTTGCTATTTTGTATATATCATAACAAGTAAAGAATGAACATCAGTGTCATCTATATTTATTAAATATTCATTTAAAACAAATCTTCGAAAAATTCTCAATTAAAATAACTTAATAAAAAATTCAATAGAATAAAAATTTTTTTTTTCTTCTACACGACAAAAAAAAACTGCGGGTTCTCTGTGTTTCAACATAAAAGTCTTTGTCATGTTTTTTGCTCAATTCATTGTTCTATTCTTCTGTTTCTTTCATTGTTATAATCATGGATTGTACTAATATTATTATCCCATTTGATTTTCCATTTGCTATTTTGGGTAAAATACTTATAAAAATTTTGTTTTTTTTTTTTTTGCTTGAAAAGAAATTTCTTCTATAGAACATCGTGATAATCCTGATCCGAATAATAAATTAGTTTATGCTGTTGCTGATGGTCAATATACTTATGGACCACTTTCATTGTTTCAATATCATAATGATGAAAAATATTCTAAAACGTATATTAAATTATTTATTTTATAAATAAATAAGAAAATGACTTTTTTTGTTTTTTTCTTCATATCTAGAATTCGTAATGAAGAATTACCAATATCATTACCATGCAAAGTAAAAACAAGAAAAGAATTTAATTTTTGCTTTTTTCTACTTTGTTTCTTTTTTTGTATTGAAATTAAAAAAAAAAGGAATTTTATATAGTTGAATCTGATTTTATAATTGATGATACAATTGAAATAAATGATAATAATCGAGGTCGAATTTATGTTAAAGAAATTAATACTCAATCATCAGAAAGTTTGTTAATTAAGAAAAATTTTTTTTTTGTTTCTCTGAATATATAAAACTTCTTAAAAATACATTTTAGTTCAAATTAAAGAACTTTTACAAGAAATGATTGAATGTAAAAATGAACTTCGATCTCTTAAATCAATTGTAATGATAAAAATCATTTTATTGTTGTAAAAAAAAACACAAATATATATTCTTAGGTTTTAACAGAAGAACGAATTACACGACAATCATCTTCAAATATTCATAATTGTTCATTAAATACAAGTTATAAATCTGCTAATGGTGATATATTAACACCATTACGTAATAAAAAACAAGTTCAATCAACTATTATTCAACGAAATATTTCAACAATTGCTAAGAAAAATATTCATACACCACCAAGAAGTCAATCTGTAACAACATCAAGAATTCTTTTAAAAAATATTAAATCATCTGGTTATGGACAATATCAATCACCATCAACAAAACGATCATTATCTACATTTGGTACACCAGAACGTTCATTTTGTAAATAAATCTAATTTGTATTTATGTTTTTGATAATTGTTTATGTACATTTTATGTTAATTTGACAAAAAAAAAATTGTATGTTGTGTATGAAAATAAATTCTAAATTTCACTAGGAAAAAAATTATATAAATTCTTTTAATTAATCAATTATGAAAGTATTGTTGACTAAGTAGATGTTAATCTATGTGTATTAATTTAAGAATGGAGAGAGCTGCAATTTTCACTTTTTTAAAAGAGAAGAACTCGGAACTATTGAAATATGTTTTGTAGCTATTTCTTTTTCGATCTATACAATATCGATATTCATAGTTTGTTTCGTTCGAAAATTATAAGATTTTCGATCTCAATCGATTGGTGATATTTTGTTTTTACGTTCAAATTGCTCTAACATTGTTATTATAATCTTTCAGCGCAATGTCAACTTATTCGTTACAGATACAAGTTGATTATGATAAAATTGTCAGATCGATTCAAATCCTACCAATGAATATCATCATTCGTCTCAACATGATGAATTATGTCTTCGAATGACCACATTTCAATTTAGAGAAATTGAAACTCTCACGCAAAGTCTTATAAATTCTTCAGTGGAATAAACAAGGAGTGTTGGTTTTGTGTCGATTCGAAAAGTAGAATTAGTCCTATTACTAGAAGTCTATATTGAGAGTGAAATGGCTTGAGAATATGATTTTGGAACACTTATGTCAAGAATTCACTGAATTAGTCGATCATATTTCGATGATTTCAAGTCTTCGCTCTTGATTGCTAAAAAGTAGAAGATTTTAGGATGCTTCTATCAAAAATTATTCAAAATACATTCACCTGCCTTATATTTTGATGTTGATAATAGAAACAGCTTGAAATCAATTGTATACAATGTCAGTTTGAAAACTTTTGAATTGAAATGAAACAATTAACTCAAAAGTTCTATTATACTATGCTATTACTGACATTTTCAAAGTGTTCACAATAGTTTTTTCAGAATAATTCAACTGTATGAGCTCGTTTGAGAAATTTCAATAGATGAAAAACTTGTTTTATTCTGTCAACGTAATAACTACTCTAGATGGAGAAAGATATCAATGTAACTGTCTGACGCAAATGAGTCATGCCACCGTTCTCTTACGAAAAAAAATCTGCGCATTTTCCATCAAATCTTACGTATTTCATCGTGTTCTTCGTCTGCTAATATAATGTGTCATGTATGGGAACAATATTTTTTTCTCACAATCAAATATCCCTTCTATATTTATATAAAGTAGTCATACTATGAAACATGTTCTATATAAATACCGAAAGAAATCTTCATATCTTCATTCATCAATTAATAATCGTTTTAGGCAACTCAAATCAAGTGATTTCAAGTAAGATAGAAATTATCTTATTAAGTTATTCTATATTTTATTTGTATTTTTGTAGTTCTTATTTATCAACAAAAAATATCCTACAAACAAACTTCATAGCAAGTATGTTGAGATAACTTTAAAACGTTTATTTTCGTGAGAATACTACTTAAAACAATTCTGTTTTTGTGAACTGTATATTCATGAAAGCAAAATTTTGATATATCTGATATCATTAGGATAATAAGTTTTCGACGAAAGTTCGAATTAGATATGAGTATAATCAATCAATGATATTGATTAAATTAGGATTATCATTTTAGTTTTGTTTTATCAAAAAAGAACAAAACTAAAAGTTAAACTTTTGAGTATAAATGAATAGGAAGTGTATACTTAATGAATGTTTTGTTTTCGGAAGTAACTATTAGACTTTAATGTGTTTAATAATTAGCATAAATTATATAAGGTTAACCTTTCTTATGGAACTCAATGATATTACCTTATCACAATGTTTGTTATATGATTTTCTTTTCCAAGAAAAGCTTGAATTCATAGATTCAGATAGAGAAGAAATATTTACATTTTTCATAGTCAAGTTATCTATAGACTACCCTTTATAGATTAGTGAGTATGCAAGATATTTCGATACAATCAACAGTAGATCTAATTAAAACATTCATGAAAATATAGTATATCGAAGAGACTTTTTAAAAGGCAAAACCCGAACCTATATCGAAAAACACTTTTTTTTCTACATGTTTTTTTTTACGAAAAATTGTTTTGTCCTTTTTCAAAAGATATAAACTATACATCTGTTTTTGTTATTGTCACTACTTACTCCAAGGATTCAACTATTAGTGAAAATTGTTTCTCAATGTATTTTCTACTGTTTCTATTTAGACGGTTTTCAATAGACTTCATATGATGACTTACTTACAACTTCTGTACATACTTTTGTTTCTACAACAAACTATAACAATTTTATTTGCAAAAGTTCATCGAAATCCCGAAGATTTTGGAATTCTCATGCTCGATCCTTCCCTACAAGGCATTGAAGCTGTTGAAATATCCAATTTAAACACAAGAAAAGGACTTGCTTTCTTCTTGATCGTCATTGGACCAGTTGATGAAGGAATTTCAAAAGCTATTCATCTAGCACCAGAAGAATCCACAGTTGTATATTATAATAATAGTAATATAGATATTACCAACATACGCAAGCAGTATCAAGGATCAGTGTTCGATCTAGGCAAAGGCTTGTATTTGATGCAAACAGTACCTCCACAATGCGATGTAATATTTTGCAAAAAATTAGGAAATGATATCAAGTTTTTCAAGACATGCAGTCCAGAACGTTGTCATTGTTCAGATGGTCAACCACATTTACAACGTTGTGGTGATGGCACTGTTTTTAATCCTCTTTCTAGAAGTTGCAATCAACCTAACATTGTTGGCTGTTAAACAAAACGCAAAGAATATATTCATATCGAATTCCAATTTTTGAAAATTCTTTCTATGTATATTTACTGTTTGTTTCTAGTAACATTTTCCGTTTGTACAATTGTTATATTTGAAGTATTTGAAAATAAAGATTTGTCTTTTATTGCATTGTATATATGAGAGACAAGTAATTGAATAAGTATGACTTATCTTCACAAATAGTTGTCTTATACTATAGTGTTGAAAAAATCGACAAGGTTAAAAGTCAATATAAAATGAAGTCTGATATAAGAGAGGACAACAAGTTATTCGTTGAATTACTTAAACATGTTGTCATCTAAATAAATAATTTGAAGTATTTTCTCGAGCAAGATCAAGTACTATAGAATGAATTCAATTCATATTCGAAGAAAACCTAGAGAAAGTGGCAGTAAAACAAAATAGAATCGAAACTTCATTGAAAAAGACATTCGATTACTCTTGTCAGAATAATTATCGAAAAACAAAAGTTTTTTTTTTTGGTTACATGAAAATCTCGTGGTTCTTTCTAACTATTTCATTGATCTATATTTTCTCAAGAAACAACTATGCGAACAAGTTAGAATAAGATACAGAATAATTGTTTTCTTCTTCATATGTGTTCAATTCAAATATGTGCACTCTCCATATACATATGGTTAAAAAATGATAGCTTCTAAGAAGAGTGAGTTCAACACATGTGTAATTAGCAAATTTTATTTTCATAGTAAAAGAAAAATATCATTGTCTAATCGAAGTCTATCATCTAATTGAACACATATATCTTCTGTTAAAGATTGCACTACTTTTTCTTTTCTGTCAAATAAAGTATTAGCACTTTTTTCAATCATATATGTTGAAAGAAGAATATTTTCGTGTTTGCACAGACTAATAAAAGTTACTATCGCTTGAACTACATTTTTTTGAAGAGAAAAGTCAATCATTCTTGCGTACACTTACATGTAGACTTAACTTTTGTATGAGATAGAAATTCGTTCAGAGTAAAATACATGTGTTTAAGAAAAAACTATCATTTATAGATCACATACATATTGAGACTACCTATACTTAAGTTGAAAAAACAACTATCCTTCATCCCCATTCTAACTTGTCTATATAGTAGTTTCTTAAGAAAACATAGACAAGTAAAATAATTAGAAAGAATGACAGAAATTTCATGCAATAGAAAAACTAATGTCATATGTTCTCTTCAATGAAGTCTCGACTCTAATTTTTTCACTGTCAATCTCTTTAGACTTTTTTCGAACATGAATTGAGTTCATTCTATAGTACTACATCTTATTTCAGGAAATACTTCGAATTATTTAGTGTATAACAATACATTTCAGTGATTCAATGAGTAACTTGTTCTTCTCTCAAATATTAGACTTCATTTTATATAAAATTTGAACTGTATTGATTTTTTCAAGGTTTTTAGTACAAACTGGCTTGAAATTACGAGTTTTTGAAAATATAGGAATGCGAACTAAAAGCAGATTTTGCTAACTTTACCATTTGACATCTTTTCTTAATTGAATTAGCATGAATAGTTGGAGCCTTTTTAGGATATCAATCTTATTTAATTCTATCAAAATGAACAGTTCGTTCAATTATCGTTATAAAATTTAGTTAGAACATTTTTTTATTCAGGAATCAAGAAGTAAAAAGAGCAGATATTAAGGTATGAAAAAATAAACAATGTACAAAGAAAGCAATTACTATTTTTCATAATTGAATTTGATTAATAAATATATTATTTGATTATAAGAATTTGTCCTAGAAGTTTGAAGCTATATTTAAATTCATCTTTCATGTTTTTACTAAAAGCAAACTGTTTGAAACTTTGACAGAATAGAATATCTACCTGATAGTAAATAAGCAAAATGTTTAATGTCTATAGCTTTTTTAAGTTATAAGAACTCATATAAACACTAGCATGTAGTACTTTGATTATTGTGTACTGCAAAAGTAAGTACACTATAGGATCGATCCGTGTGTCCGTCCAACCGGCCGTTTATACGATAGCTCTTCAAAGAGTAGTCTGGTTGTGATGAAATTTTGCATACAGGGTACTACTGCAGATTAGTCACACTCTCACTCTTACCCTCACATTGGTTGCTGCCAAGGGAAAATCGGCGGATTCCAGGGATTCCAAATCCCATGGGAATCCGATGGAAACCCCAGGAATACTTGAAGTAGATGCCTGAAAAGCACTGAAGTTATAACTCATGCTCGTGCATAATCAATATCACTTCATTTATTTAATATTTCTAAACCTATTTCTTTAAGAGAACCATGCATAGGTATGGAAAATAGGAGTATGGGTGTGAATGTTTCGTTGGGATGGAAAGAAGACGTAAATCCACACTCACTCGATATCGTTAACTGAACATTCTAAGCTATATAAGCGACTGCTTCTGATGAAATGATGTGAGCGAAATCTTGACATCTAGTACGACCATTTATACAGTTCAAATAGGTGAGAAATCTCAAATGCTTTGCACAATGGCCCTTATATTTATTCATAGAAGGATGAATCGGACTACAAATTTAAATTCGACATAAAATATATAGCTATAATTGACCCAAGGCACTAGCTCCGAAGACGAACTTGTGGATTTTTCATTTTATCCAATACGTAGTAAGTCGTAGTTTCGCAGTCAACACTATTCTTTCTACGCTGATCAATAATGATCCAACCGTTAGGATTACCATAAAAAGAAAACATATGTAAATAATCTATCGAATTTTTATCAAATGATAGGAACAATATACTAACCGATTAGCTTATATTAATTCACTATACGATTCATTTAATAAAATAGACATGCTTTATGGGGAAACGTAACGGGGCAGTTCTAATCGATGTTACTTTGGTTTTTGCTGTTCTTTCATGGACAGAGAAGAATGAAGCAGAAGAGCTCTTTTGTGTCACTAGTATTGATGCATATCTTATGAGCGGGGTGTCGGATGTGGGTGTGTGGGTGTGGGTGTGGGTGTGGTTGGGTGTGGGGTGTGGGTGGACAGAAGAGCTAGACCAGCACCCACACCTACACCCACACCCACCCACGCCCACACCCACACCCACACCACCCACCCACCCACACATCGACCCACACCCACCCACACCACCAACCCACACACACACCGACCCACACCCACCCACACCCACACCCACACCCACACCCACCCACACCACCCACCCACACACACACCGACCCACACCCACCCACACCACCCACCCACACACACCGACCCACCCACACCCACACCCACACCCACACCCACACCCACACCCACA